GGACCGAGAATCGACGAAATAACATAAGCGATTCTAATCTCTCTCTTTGCTTCATTTCATTATACATATATATATATATTTTTTTTTCTTTTTACATTTTATATAATATATTAGATTAATTCATGAATAAGTTCCATGAATAAATAATGAATTTATTCTAATAAAATAACACTTATTTATGAATCAATTTTGTATATGTATATATATATATATATACACAAGAAAAAAATACTATCTCAAGCCAATACTAATATTTATATTTACTGGACATTGTAACAAATGAAATAGGATATAAAAATAATCAAATGTAATGAGGATATAAAATCAAAGATTTAACTCTTTCTTTGTTTCGCAATCGATAAACAGAGAAAGGAAAAGAGAGAGGTAAAGAGAGAGGTAAGAAAAAAATATTTTTCCTCGTTGAAAAAAAAAAAAATATATATATATATATATATACAGCGAGTTCAAGATTGGTCCCTCGTTCATTCTTGAAGGATGTACGAACGTGCAATTTCGTTCTCGCGGAAAAACGAAGGAGAGCACGACGTTAAGAGATGTACGTAATGTACCTACATAAAGGAAAGAAAGGGAGGTAGAAAGAACGATAGGGAGGGAGGAGGGTAAGTATGTAAGCGTAGAAGGAAAAAAGGCAATTACTTGGGTCGACGGGGAAACGACGATGGCAACGGATGACCACGAAACGGAGGTCGTCTTCTCACTCCCCTTTCTCCGGCCCTACCCCTTTATGACAGTGAAATTATTAATTACTGTTTTGTATGCCGGCACTTTGCTTTTGTCAGCGTGGAGAAACGTCGTGAGCGCGACCGCAATGCGCTCAGTAATCCTCCCTATCCTCCTTCTTCTCCTCCTACTCCTACTCCTTCTCCTCTTCCCCTTTCTCCTCTTCCTCCCCTCTTCCCTCCTCCTACCAACAACTACTCTGCTTACTCATTTCACTCTTCTCGTTTCCATGTAGATAGGATTCTCTTTTTGCGATTTCAGAAATTCATTCGTAATAGTATTATACGATCATTTTTATCACGTCCTTAAACCATTCCTTATCAAACGATGACTATAGTCATCTGAGAATATTCTTCATGAACTTAAGTAGTCCGGGTTAACGGAGCATATCTTGATATCTTCATGGCAAAGAAACGATCTCTTATCGTGACGTATATTTCTTTATTAATTCGTATTACGTCGAGGTTACAGTATATTATAAATGGTCATTTTTTATCGAAATTATTTTTCGATGTTATCTTTCATTGTTTTTTATTTTGTTCTTTTTTTCCTCTTTTGTTCTTCTTCTTTTCTTCTTTATGCATAAAGAAGAAAAGAAGAAACAAACAAAAAAAGAAGAGTTTTATTAATTTTGATTTCATTGAAAGATAATTATATTTAATGTAATTTTGTTTAATAAAGCTTGATCTTAATTACTAGCTTGTCTGATTCAACGAAATTAGAGGAATAAGTTCATAAAGCATATATAACTGACCTGAAAAAAGTTTCATTAAGTAGCACGAAGTACTTCTCGAGAAAATATGTCATGAATTTAGCAAATTTAATATTAACTGGATATGTTATTTATACTGTTCTTAAAATTTTATATATCTAACTTTAATAATAAGTTACAAGATATAATATCTTTTTCATGATATAACTTAAGTTAAACTTAAATTCAATTTTAATAAGAAATTAAATAAGTGAGATAAGACAAACTGTTTAAGATAAGTTTCTAGGTAAATAGGATTACATTTTGCGATTTTAGGAATTTGTTCGAAAAAAAAAAAAAAAAAAAAAAGAAAAGAAAATGATCATTTTTATGATCTCAAACTTTTCCCTTTATTAAAGTCGATTATAATCACCTAATACAAACTCGCTATACAATAAATATAACTACGGCTATAGTCAACCAACAAAATTCTTCATGCATTAAGAATTCTAGTTGAACTAAACATATCTTGATATTTTCATGGCAACCAATGTTCTTTATCCTTTGACATATATTTCTTTATAATTCGTTCTTTTATAATTGATGTGATATAATTTTAATGAGAATAAAAAAAAAAAAAAAAAAAAAGAAAAAGAAACAAAGAACAAATTTTCTATAATTTGCATAATTACGAATAATAATTGCACGTTTGATTCGGTGTAAAAAAAAAAAAAACTTCACCTTGGCAAAAGGGTTAATCTTGCCGCCATTTTGCATTTTCTTTTTTTCTTTTCTTTTCTTTCTAATCAAGAAGTTATACGAGGAGATATTATAAGTAGGATAAAGACTTTAACTTACCAAAAATCCCGATGTATTGTCTAAAAGACAACGGAAGCGGACGGTAAAACTACGCTCAAGAAGATGACTGTGTTGGGGTGAGAGTGCATCGTGAAGCGGTAAGTTAGCATTTTCAGCAGGTAAAAAGGAATTCCACATTAATTGTCTTTGTAATTCTTCTCGATCTTCGCTATGCACCAACTCGTATACGCTTTGATGAACGATGTCCGACTGAAATGAAAGAAATAATCGCGTTGATATTAAAATCGAATATATAATATCAAATATACAAGTTGAATTATTCTCGTTGATTATTACTATGAATTTTATTTCTCTATTATATAAGATATTTACATAATTAATATTAATCCATCGAGAATTCATTTAAGAAAACGAAATTATTTACTTTTAGTTTATCTTTTAGATAAAATTATTTAATAGTATAATCAATATTCTTATATATATATATATCAAATTGTATATACATTTCTTTAAATATTTATATTTGAGAAGGTTTATCAAGACAGCAGAGTGGCGCAGTGGAAGCGTGCTGGGCCCATAACCCAGAGGTCCGTGGATCGAAACCACGCTCTGCTAGGGTTTATATTTTTCTTTTTTTTTTTTTTTTCATAACTTTTCATCTCTTTTCTTAAATATAAATAATAATAGCTTTTATACATATACACATAGGAACATATATATATATGTTCTTTTTTCTTTGCGAGTCACGTTCAGTTATATTATTAAATGTTCCCTATGACTCATTTCTCGTTTTCTATGCATCATCAAGAGAGTCGCATATCGCAAGTATTACAATAATTTTACTTACGCAAATATTCAACCTACGTTGTAAAATTGAAAATGCAAGTGTACCTATCGCGCTAAATAAACGGTTAAATATTTGTTTATGTAAAAAAGAAAGAAAGAAAAAAAAAAAAGATAAAGAATATCTTCGATCGTGATAGGAGTTGCAAGTAGTAAGTACTTACTAGGCGAGCTTTGATGATTACACGTTATCGTTACTTTCGTGCCAGCAACTTCGTTTCTCTTTTCTTAATAATTCTTATTAATTTAATCTAAAGGGAGAAAAAAAAAATCTGAGAGATAAAATTCTTTTCTTTTTTCTTTCTATTTTCTTCTCTTTTTTTTGTTTTTTTTTTTTTTTTATTTTTTTTTTCCATCGATTAGAAAATAATCCACAGAGAAGCAGAGTGGCGCAGTGGAAGCGTGCTGGGCCCATAACCCAGAGGTCCGTGGATCGAAACCACGCTCTGCTAAAAGATGGTTAATAATACATCTATTTTTTTTTACTTTTGCATATACATTTTCACGCGTTTCAAGTGAGATATTGATTTTTTATGAGGAAGCCGGTTTATCAATTGACACGAGTTCGCAGTTCATAAAAACATATCGTTGTCGGGTCATAATCATATACTCTTTTCAATATTTTCGTTCTACTTATGGTTAAAATAAATAATTAGCGTTTGAGATATGACTTCTTGATTTATTTCATTATATCGAGCCACATCGATTTATTTTGCTTTCAAATTAATTGAAAATAATTGAAGAACAATTTGATTTTCCATATAAAATTTGTTGAGCAAATTTCATAGAAGAAAGAAAGAAAGTAAAAAGAGAGAGAGAGAGAGAGAGAGAGAGAGAGAAATTGAGAATATACTATACCAAAACATTAGAATTTATTTTAGTCAAAAGAACGAATAAAACGAAGACGAAGAAGTAGGTATGAGAACGAATAGGATGAAAAGTAGTAGGAGGATGATTCGAGAAACGATGGCATTAAGTGAAATCTTTTTTCTCAACCTTCCTCGCTCTCTTTCTCTCTCTGTTTGTTAAAATAAAACGTTTCGAATGCGAACGGTACGGAGTGGAGTGGCATTATTTCAGGAAATATCAGATCGGTCGTGACGGCATGCAGCGACACAAGCGCATATACGGCCGATGTACCTACACGTGTTCGACGCACTTTATCGCGCATAATTAATCCAGACTAGCTCGGCCTCGAATGATGAGTCTCCGCACGACAGCGGCGCATAGTTTTACCCTTTAGAGGCGGTCATGCTCGTCGTCGTACTAACTTTTAGTTTAAGAGACAGAGATAGAAACAGAAATAGAGAGAGAGAGAGAGAGAGAGAGAGAGAGAGAGAAAAGAGAGAGAAATAGAGAAAGAGAGATCTAAGATGTTGGTGAAGGTGTAAAGTGAGAGAAAAAGAGCTAATCAATCCGGTACGCTGTACGGTACAAGGAAAAAGAGAGAAAGAGAAAGAAAGAGAAAGAGAAAGAGAAAGAGAGAGAGAGAGAGAGAGAGAGAGAGAGAGAGAGAGAGAGAAGGATACCTCGAGCATAGGTGTAACCGCGTGACTTTTAATCCGATAATCGGTGTGCTGGTGCAGCACACGCATCCCTGAACGTTCCTGAACTGAAATAAACCTTGGTACTACTCGAGAATAGATCGACTCGGCTCGTTCGACCATTACCTGGTCATGGCTGTCAGGACAGGCTTTGCTCGCTGCGAATAATATAATAAATCACGTGCTAGAGACGACGTGTAAGAGAAAGAGAAAGAGAAAGAGAGAGAGAGAGAAAGAGAGAAAGAGATCACAACGTTAGCTTAACGTTAACGTTTCTAAACGAAGAACGTCGTTGCACTGTCGATGCACTGACACCTCTCTCTCTCTCTCTATATATATATATATATATATATCTATCTTTATCTATCTTTTTCTGTCTACCTCTTTATATACGCGCGTGTACGCGCGTGTACATTTCGTGCACGGACGAATCTCGGGGTATCAGTGCCGTGAGGATCTCACGACTTCCATGTTACCCGCGCACCATCCCTGCTATTATGCGCGCACGTACCCGATTCTACGATGTATCGTATACCATATAATGTGCTATACACAGATATATATATATATATATATATTTATATGTTTGTATATACATATATATATATAACATACGTGGACACGGATAGGGATATCGATACGCATATATATATATATATATATATATATATATATATATATATATATATAAATTCTGTGTAACCATAAGACAGGATTTTCCAAAGTGAAAATGTCAGGGAGAAGCATAATATGGTATATCGAACTTTCACCAATCCCGATGTCTCTCGCGGTAAATCATTTTTTCTTACTTTCCCCTTTCCTTTCTTTTTTTTTCCTTTTTGTTCTTTCCCTCTCCTCCACCTCCCTCTACCCCCTCCCGCCTGACCCCCCACCCGCGCCCCACTGTTCCTTTTTTCCGTTCGTCGTTTTTGTTTTTTTTTTGTTCTTTTTGCTTCTTCTTCTTCTTCTTCTTCTTTTCGTTTTCGTTTTCATTTTCGTTTTCTTTTCACATCATATATATTTACTCATATATATTTTGTTCATTTATCATAACCCGTCGCCATTTGTGGCGATTGCGACGATAGTGGTGGTGATGATGATGGTGGTAGAGGTGATGGTGATGATGGTGATGGTAGTGATATGGTAGTAGTGGCACTATCGAGCTCGAAGCTGAAACGGAAACCGAAACAAGAGACCAACTCCGCGTCTCGTAAAACTCTCACCGTCCCGATAAATATATAGCAAGAGCTATCGCAAAATCGTTCGTATTCGAACGAAACAGCAGGTAAGGGGGATAGTAGTCGCCGCCTTGAGAAAGGAGTCCCATGAAGTTCTTCTCCATGGGATCCAATGAATTTGAGCGTCCCGTTTCCCGCGGTTAACCGTCTAGTCGCAACCCTGCTGCGATCGCGCGGACGCGATCGGTGAATGGTGGGGGAACATGACTTGTTTCGTTTGCTCTAATTTTAATGAAGGATTATACACGATTTCTTTGCTAATCGATGTAAGAAAGTGATCCTACATTTCTCTCTCTCTCTCTCTCTCATTCTATGTATCGGATTAACCGTGATAGCAAAGAAACGTTTATTTGGAGTTTCCGACATCGAACATCGTAAAAGTAATTCGATATTACGTGTCGCTGATTCAAATTTTCCCCGAACGAATATGTGTACCTATACAAAATTGAGTTTCACGAGACTGGTTAACTTAACCGAGTTGTAACTTTGCTACCGGGTCTTCTATAAGACTTTAGTCAACCTACAATCATAAGTTTCATTATAATGGCTCGCCGTCACGTATTCGCCTATAATGGTACTCGAATTAAATCGCGACAGCTTTTATTAAGCGAGCTTAATCATAAATTATATTTTAATTGCCGAACGATATAAAGAAGTTTATATCGGATTAATATAATTCGCCATGATTATCAACTACCTATGTAAATTATTATGGCCGTGTATGTATCTATATATAATTATAAATATATAAAGTTAAGGGAAGATCTATTAAAATTTTATTTAAGATCATTAAAATTTTTATTGATTAACAAAGTTATATATCTAGTAAGATATAGGATTACAGAAGATATGTATATTATGTTTGTAGGAGTAATTTTAATTTTACACTGAGCTACCATTGTATTAATGAACGAACGAACGAATGAACGAACGAACGAACGAACGAATGAATGAATGAACGAACGAAACGAACGGAACGAACAAATGATATAGAATTACTATTCTGTATTATTGAAAGTATATAATCGTTTAAACTTATTGATAAGTCGAAAGTATCATTAAAGTCGAGAATTCTCACGAATTTCGTGAACTACGATCGTCATATTACGATCGACCGTTGTCGATCCCTTCGGCACCAAACGATCGTCGTCTCGTACGTAAGTACTTACATAAATAGGTACTCTCATCGTTCGCTCGGGAGCGAAAGATATTTTTCTTTTTTTTTTCTTTCTTCTTCTTCCTTTTTTTCCTCTTTTCTTTTTCTTTTTTTTTTTTATCTTTCATTCGTTTTTCATGCCGTGGCCGCTCGCGCGAGTTGAGGTCAGTTACCGAAGGCAAGGCGGCGGGCGGTTTGCCGGTAAGGTCCGTAACGTTTGTTACCATTGCTCGTTTAAATAATCTCGAAACATGTATCCGCGGGACGGAGCGGCCAACTCATGGATGGCTTTACGATCGACCCTCGTCGTTAATTAAGAGCTTGTAATTATTTAGTGGAGACGCTAGCGCACCCCCGCCGGCATCGGAGCAGTCTCGCTCCCTCGGCAGACTTGATTTACATTCCAACGAAGAATGCGTCGGCTTTGCCTCGCCTTACTCTTCCTCGCTTCACCTCACCTCACCTCAC